TTTTTAATTTTTAACACCTTAAAAACATATAAAATATATTTTATATATTTAATGTTCTTTAATTAATATTTTACATATTTTTAAATAATAAAATGATATAAAACCAAAAAATAAAGCGCCAAGAATTGTTGTTAATGAAGCCTAAAAATATTTTGATATTTATAAACTTTAAAATTATAATAAGTAAACGGTAAAAGTGATATGTTTAGTTTTTATTTATCCTAATATAATTCATAATTTGTAACATTTTCTTCCTATCTTTTTTCAAAGGAAAAAATTTCTCAAAACTTTCCTTAAGCGGGAATTGCTTAAAAACTTTATATATATTTTTTCCATGTTAATTTTTTTTATCAAATATAACAAAATTAACAACTTATAAAATTTTAATAAAATTTTATTACAAAACTCAATAAATTTGTATACAGTGGATTTTAACTTTTTTATAATATTTTAATTAGTCCCTTTCACAAGAAAAACGTTTTTAAGAAAGTTGGTTTTTAACCAAACACACCCTAAAGATTAATGGACAATTAATTTAGCATAATCTAATTTAGTTTTATTATTATTTATTATTATTATTTAATTTTAAATTACAAAATAAAATACAACTCTCTCATCTTTTAATACATATTACCCACATACTATATACTTTAAACTCACCATCTCTTTTTTCTTTTTTTGTTTTAAGCACTAAGCTAATTAAGTGTTGGCCATAATCTAATTTAGTTAGAAATCACATAGGCTCAGTGTGGGCTAAGAAGCTTTTATGCAAGATTGAGAGGATGGGTTATTGTCACATCCTTAATTTTTGTTTCCATAACTTTAACTTTTTCTAGACCTTTTCCCCGTTGTAATAAAGCCTTTATCACAAATCGGACCTTTAGGTTCAATGGTTCGACCCCAAACTTTAACAGCTTGAGTGAAGTGGTTGGAGTTTTGAACTTTACCACCGATGTGAACTTCACCAAAAAGCGGTTCTATGGCCGCTCACCTCATTTGAGGGGGTAGACTGTTCACCCGATCTAAGGATCGAATCCTCAGTTGCTAACAACTAATTCAAACTAACTTTCTAACAATTACCTTTGTAAAAAAAAAAAAAAAAAGTTCTTATCACTACTTTTTATTTTTTATTTTTTATTTTTTTAACTCCTTTTTTTTTTAAGAGTGATTATTATCTACCTAAATAATTTAATAGTAATTTATTTTTAATAAACTAAAAAATTTTAAATTTAAATTGCATAACATATAAATAAAATGAATTAAAAAATAAAATAAAATAATCTTTTATTGTATAATTTAAAATAAATAAATAAATAAAACTTCTAAAACATTGAAATCCAAAATATTTATTTGTAAAATAAACCACAAATTGTCTCTAATTAATATTACCAAAATAATTAGACCCAAAACTTTTCAAGAAATGGAGTACTTACATATAGTTATTGTTGAACTATTGTTACTTTCTTAGACAGTGCTAAACCTTAATTACATAGGTTTAGCTAGTTCGGCATCCCTGACTAAAACTTAATTATTTATGTATGCCTATGCTAAAACTTTTGCCGCCCTGCATTTTTAGTTTACATTAGATAGTTAGTTGCTTAGCATTTTAGGGTTTTGAATATTGAATTTTGATCATAAATTAAAAATTTTAAATTAATAAATATTAATTTGGCAAAATTCTTGTTGGCGGTCTTGCATGTATTTAAATTGACTGAAACCTCTCTTAAACTACTCAAATCATCATATAGTTAAAAAAAGAGAGACAAAAGACAGTTACGATGCTTTCTTTGATTTCATGTTCACATTCTTGCCCTCACCTTGTACATCGTGGTATGCTTCTCTCGGTTCCTCTGATCTATTATCTCAAATTTACTACCCGGAAGATATTTAATTTAGTTCTTTTTTTTTCTTATTTACCTCTTTTGGTTTTTGAGATTATATTTTGAGTTTGTAATTCAAATTGCACAATTTAGTCTGAAAAAAAGGGACTACTGAATTGGAAAATCTCCAACATTAAAGGTCTCTCCCTAATTCTGTGTAGTTAGACGCAATATAAAACATTTCTGATGGTTTAGAATTTTTTTATTCAAATCCAAATTCCTATTGCAAAAGCTTTTTTAGAAGTCTCTACGTAGAATTTTTTTTCCTTAAAAAAAAAAAAAGGATAGAATGTGGACAGACAAGCTAACTTGTGACTTGCTTTTTAAGTGGATAATGTTAATGAAATAATTTTTTTGTATAACTTTCATATAATATTATAAATTTAAGTTAAATGAAATTAATCAATTATAAAATAACACATAAGATTAAATAAAAAAGTTCATTTAAAGTGCATTAATTGTATTATTTTGTAACAGTAAATTTTTATAAGAAAATGTAAAAGTAGATATTATTTTTAAAAGCAATACTATTTAAATATTTTAATTGAGTAGTTGATAAATTTAAAGTTAATTTTTATATTTTTTACCTAAATTAATTTTAAAAAGATGTAGTTAATACATTTTTAAAGGCATAGATTAAACAAATTCTTAAAAAATATATATAATAATAACCAATAGTTATTAAAAACAGCAAAAAATCATATTATTGGAACAATTCGAGAGCCTTTTCGTTAACCCCAGAGCATGTGTATCCTCAGGAAGAATGGAAAGATCTAAAGCACTTCAAGTTGCTATGAAGCCTATAAACAGAACCTCAAACAAAGGCAATGCCTGGAAAGTTGGAGCATGGGGTTTCCAAGGATTGCAAAAGATTGATTGGATTAGGAACAGCAGTGATAAATCCTTCAAGGAAAAATACGTTCGCGTTGCTTTAGAAAATGCTTATGCATCAGAATTTGAGGAGAAAGAGGAGGATTCTACTAAGTCTCAAAACTTTCTTTGGAAGAAACTCAAAGCATTTTACGCATTTACTCGTCCTTATGCTGTCGTTGTAAATGTGAGTTTTATCCTTGAATTCAAAAATATTAAGGACATATCACATATGGGTGTTTTTTGGTTTTTAACAAAAGAAAGGTCATTCTGTCATGGGAATTTTCCAATTTTGTTTTTCAGGTTATATTAGCAACGACAATTTCTCTACTTCCAGTGCAAACAATTAAAGAGCTGTCACCTGCACTTTTTGCGGAGATATTCAAGGTATTCTTTGGAAACTCGCATTTAATTAAGTTCAGGGCATTTTAAGTAACCAATTTTATATTTTTTTTCCCCAGGTAGTTGTGGCAACCACTTCGATGTTTGTTTATATTGCAGGCGTGAACCAGTTAAATGATGTTGAAATTGACAAGGTATTTGTACTTATTTTGTGCAGTAAATCAAAATAATTTTAAGTAATTTTAATTTGGTGAGAGTATGCATATATATTAGATCCATGCCAATTGCAAATCCTTAGCCCTTCATATTTTTCTACTTTATGTGTGTAGATAAACAAACCATATCTCCCACTAGCTTCTGGTGACTTCTCAATCGAAGCCGGAGTAGCTATTACTTTTGCAGCTCTTTCAACGGTAAGCAACCGTCGAATAAGTCATGACAATTCTGTATATAAGCTCATTCTGTTCCTTGTTTAATTTATTAATTGGTTCCATTTTTCAGAGTTTGGTTATGGGGATTATGTCATCTCCAGCACTTTTTTCTGCCATTTTAATTTGTGTCCTTACCGCGACTATGCATGCAATTGATGTACGTAAGTTCTCTCTGTTGCCATCTATCTATCCAATTTTTTAATGATTTATTTATTTTTTCTATAATTAATAATAAGTATAGGTTATGCATTGCAAAGAAGATACTTCATAACAAAAACAAAATCATCGAGTTTGAGCTATTTTGTTGGAGAGTCTAACGGATGGGTTTGGTAGCCATATTAAACTTAAAAAACATACCTATGTGTTATCTTACTCTAGCACCTTAAAATGGTTAGACCCAAAACTTTTCAAGAAATGGAGTACTTACAT